CCCCCCCCCCCCCCCCCCCGCCCCCTTTTCCTAATTTGTGCCCCCTTTCACCTTCTTTTCCGTACTGTGAAGAAATCTCCCCAGCCCGCACCTCCTCCCCCTGCCCCGGCCTGGGCCCAGCGGGGAGCTGACGTTCCAGACCATCCCCAGAAGAAACGGGCCCCCTGAGCTGTGCCCACTCAAGAGCCACAGCTGGGGTGTTGCTGCCCTGCGGGGTCTGTGAGAGCAAGGCTGCCTCGCTCCCGGACAGGAACCCAGGCCGAACCGGGCCTCCACCCCATTCACCGGGTGCCCCTCGGCTGCCCCCCACACACCAGGGAGCAGAGGAAGAGGCCCAGTGCTGGCTTCCTCGCAGAGGTCTGTGCCGGGTGGGCCGATGGAGGGGGAGCCGCGAGGCCCTCGAGGCTGAAGCCGCCAGTGCCACCCAGGAAGCATCCTGCCTCTGTCACGGGAGAGGCCAGGCCGAGACCAGGCTTGAGGGGCAGGTGACTGCCGTGACCCAACAGGTCACCCCCAGCCTACAGGTCCCCTCATGGTAGTCCTCCCTCACCCCTCCTCAGCCCCACTCCCCACCCCCAGTTAAACCGATGACCAAAGACCTTTCTTATGCCGGAAGCAAAAACCAAAACTTTTTGTTGGCTTTTTCCTTTGTGGCCTCCCACCCCCACCCCCACCCTCCTTGCTCCCCGCCCCTAGCCCCAGGCTGGAAGCCCTCCCTCCACTTAAGTTATTGTTTTAAACCAAAGTTTACAGTGTCTGTTGGTGGCCCAGACCCTCTCTCCACCCTTCCTCCACCCCACCCTGAGGACCCTGGGACTCAGTAGAGGCTGGGGGCCCTGCTCACCCCCACTTCTGCTCTTGGCCAGCCAGGAGGAAGGTCCGAGGGCAGAGGGAAGGAGGTGTGCTGCCCTCAGCATCCCGAGGGGCTCTCCTCTCCTCGGGCAGTGGGCCTTGAGCCCCAGTCCCAACCCTGGGCTGCTTCCTGGGGGCTCTCCAGACCCCTCGCTAGGACCAAGTCCCCCATCACACTGGGAGTGTGGATTCCAGCAAAGGAGCTGGAAAAGAAGTGAGACTCCACAGACCCCCTATGGGGGACCCCAACTTAGGCCATGGACTGGGTGTGTTGGATGCTCGTGATACCCCAGGCCAGGCCCCTTTGCTGAGAAGACCTCCTTGGACTATTTCCCAAGAACCCCCCACATACACCCCTTCACAAGCCACCCCTCCTGAGAGGCAGGGGGCCCTCCGCCCCCTCCCCTATGTACTCCCCACCTGTGTTCTGTTTGACCAGCACAGAAATATTAAACGTCCTCTATTCACCGGGCCCTGCGTGTGTCACCAGGGTGAGGGGGGAAAGGCACTGAAGTGGAGAGATTGCTCTGAGGGGCCGGGGGAAGGAGGCTCTGTGGACAGTGGGGGCTCCTTAGGGGTGCTTTCTGGGAGTGCATGAGCAGACCAGGACATGGGGGTTGGGGGGGATGCGGTGGGGGGGCAGGGAACCTGTCAGCAGCTCCCGCCTGCCTCTTCCACTGTCACCCTGGTGGTGGTCTCTGGTATTTTCTTTCAAACCAGGTCTCTCCACCATTTTTGCTCCCAAAGTCACTGTTCCTTCCTGCCCGCCCCCACCCCTTCAAGGGTAGGTTCAGCAGGGAGATTTCTTCCGGGGATGGAGACGATCCTTGCTGCAGGACCACCACCCCTGGAGACCTGTGCTTGCAGGCCCAGGTGCCCTTCTGGGCCCATCACTCGGCCTCCGTGGGGGCCTGGATAGGGGCCTGGGTGTGCACATGCATGGGGGGGGGGGGGTGGCTGTTAGTGGGTGCAGGCCTGCCGCTGTGTGCCCTGTCCGTGTTGTAGTGCTGGTTGGCTCTGCTAGGAAAGGGGGTTAGCCTGACCCACAGGTAGGGGTGCCCTCGATGGTTAGAGGAGGGAGGGAAGGAAATCGAAGCTGTGAACCCGAACGTGTGTCCTGACACCTCCCTCGGCCTTCCATCCCGCAGCACTTCCTGGTCCTTCCCCAACGGGGGACCCCCTCTGGCCTTCTCAGTGCCCAGCACCCACCGGGGTCCTCTGCCAGTTCCCTTCTTCCAGCACCTCGAGCACCTTCCAAACACTTCCTTCTTGAGGGCAAGGCCCCCAGACCTCTGTCCTGGGGCAGGAGCCCCCAGAATGTGTGTACCTTGGGGGGGAGGGGGGAGAGCCGGGAGGTAGAGGAGTAGGTGTGGAGAAAGCAACCCTGTTGGAATCTGTTGCCCTTGCCACCAAACTGCTAGAACTTTCCAAAAACGAAGCTGGGGGTGGGGGAGCAAGTGGGGCGGGAAAGAGTACAGGATCTGGAAATGGGAGTCTTCACTGACTTCTCTGTCTCAGGACTGTCTTGTCCTTTCCTAGTGCTTTCGACCAGTCTGTCACCTTCTGCCTCTTTCTCCCCCCCCCCCCCCCCCGTTTTCTCTCTCTCAATGCTGTCCAGGCCACCTCCTCCCCCTGCCCTAATCCCCTGGACACTTGCATAGAGCCTGGGGTGAATTCCCAGTACCTCCTCCCGGCATCTCAAGATGGCCTGGGCGGGTCAGGCCAGGGGAGCTCGGCCTGGAGTCTGAAACGGCACACCGCCCCCCCCCCCCCCCCCGCCCCGCCCCGAACCCTCCACCCACAGACTTGCCCACCAGCACTGTATCAAGAAGCAGCAGTGCGATGTGCTGTCGTGTGGCCCTCCCTGCCCTCTGTGGAGGCTGCCAGCCCAGGAGAAGTGGCTGCGTGTGTAGTCTGGGGACAGCAGCATCCCCTGCAATGTAATAAAACAATCCCCCACGATTTCACTGCGGCCACTTCCCCTCGGGGACCCACCAACCCCCTACAAAGCCCCAGAGAATCCTGGGGTGTCTGCGCCAAGCTCCCAGCTCCCTTAGTCCACCCTGGGAGACCAAGGTCTCTGTCCTCCAAACTAGCCCCAGAGACTAAAGCGACAAGACTACACCCAGCCTCGCTCTCAGGACAGTCCTTCCCGCAGTCTAACTTGTGTTTTTCTGCTTCAACTAGAGTTTTGTTTTTTGTTGTTGTT